CGGTGTGTTGAGGATGCAGAGCCGAATATGTGTGCCTAATGTAGATGGGCTTCGGGAGTTGATTCTTGAGGAGTCCCACAGCTTGCGATATTCCATTCATCCGGGTGCCGCGAAGATGTACCAGGATTTGAGGCAGCACTATTGGTGGAGATGGATGAAGAAGGATATTGTTGGGTTTATAGCTCGGTGTCTCAACTGTCAGCAGGTTAAGTATGAGCATCAGAGGCCGGGTGGCTTGCTTCAGAAGTTAGAGATCCCATAGTGAAAGTGGGAGCAGATCACCATGGACTTGTAGTTGGGCTAACACGGACTTCGAGGAAGTTCGATGCTATTTGGGTTATTGTGGATCGGCTGATCAAGTCTGCGCACTTCATTCCTATTGGTACTACTTATACTTCAGAGCGGTTGGCTGAGATTTATATTCGAGAGATTGTTATCCTGCATGGTGTCCCAGTTTCCATCATTTCAGATAGAGGTACTAAGTTCACATCACAGTTTTGGAGGGCCATGCAGCGAGAGATGGGTACTCAGGTTGAGTTGAGCACAACTTTTCACCCTCAGATGGACGAGCAGTCCGAGCGCACTATTCAGATATTGAAGGACATGTTGCGCGCTTGTGTCATTGACTTTGGGGTTTCATGGGACCAGTTTTTGCCACTCGCGGAGTCTGCATATAACAACAATTATCAGTCGAGTATTCAGATGGCTCCGTATGAGGCTTTATATGGGAGGAGATTTAGATCTCCGGTAGGATGGTTTGAGCCGGATGAGGCTAGGCTCTTAGGTACAGACTTGGTCCAGGATGCATTAGATAAGATGAAATTGATTCAGGAGCGGCTTCGCACGGCGCAGTCTAGGCAGAAGAGCTATGCGGATAGGAAGGTTTGTGATGTGTTTTTTTATGGTTGGGGAGAAAGTTTTGCTGAAGGTATCACCCATGAAGGGTGTTATGAGGTTTGGGAAGAGGGGAAAATTGATCCCTCGGTTCATTGGGCCTTTTGAGGTGCTTCAGAGGATAGGGGTGGCTTATAAGCTTTCCTTGCCATCCAGCCTGTCGAGTGTGCATCTAGTGTTTCATGCCTCCATGCTCCGGAAGTATATTAGAGATCTGTCCCATGTTTTGGATTTCAGCACGATTTAGTTGGAGGGTGATATGCCTTATTATGTGGAGTCGGTGGCTATTTTGGATCGGCAGGTTCGAAGGTTAAGGTCAAAGGACATAACTTCAGTGAAGGTGCAGTGGAGAGGGCAGCCTGTAAAGGAGGCCACCTGGGAGACCGAGCGGGAGATGCGAAGCAGATATCCACGCCTATTCGAGACTCCAAGTATGTTTCTAGACCCATTCGAGGACGAACGGTTGTTTAAGAGGGGGAGGATGTAACGACCCGGCCGGTCGTTTCGAGAGTTATATCCCTGTTTCCCTCATTTATGCTTCTTTATGTGCTATTTAGATGTATTGTGTTGTATCGGGTTAGTTGGTTCGGGTCCAGAGTGGTTTCAAAGTGGATTGAGACACTTAATCTCTAAAGTATAAGCTTAAGTTGGAAAACTTCAACCGGATGTTGACTTATGTGTAAACGACCTCGGATTTGGAGGTCCGTGGTAGAATTAGTCTTGAATTGGCGAAATTGGAAATTTGGCAATTTTTGGTTGGTAGTGAAAAATTTGATATCGGGGTCGGAATGGAATTCCGAAAGTTGGAGTAGGTTCGTAGTGTCATTTGTGACGTGTGCGCAAAATTTGAGGTCATTCGTACGTGGTTTGGTTGGTTTCGGCATCAGTTGTCGAATTTGTAAGTTTAGAAGTTCTTAGGCTTGAATCTGAGGGTAATTTGGTGTTTTGATGTTATTTTGAGTGATTCTAAGGTTCGACTAAGTTCGTACGGTATTTTAGGATTGATTGGTATATTTGGTTGAGGTCCCGGGGGCCTCGGGTGTGTTTCGGATTAAGTTTTTAGCAAGTCCGGGCATTTCCGGAACTGAGGTATGGTTATGGTGCCTTGGATTTTCGCGGATCGCGAAGGGATTTCACGGCCGCGCTTGGAATTTCGCGGACCGCGAAGGAATTTTGCGGAACGCGAAAGAATTTTGCGGCCGCGCTAGGATTTTCACGGACTGCGAAGAATTTTGCGGCCGCGCTCGGAATTTCATAGACCGCGAAGTGGGAGACTAGAGGTGTACTTTATAAACGAGGTTTAGCCCATTATTTCACATTTTGGACCTAGGGAGCTCGGTTTGTGGCGATGTTTCGTGGATTTTTTAAGAAATTCATCGGGGTAAGTGATTCTAACTCGAATTTGGTTAATATACATGAATATATCAATGATTTCATCATTTGATTAGTACTTTGAGGTGGAAATTTGGGAAAAATTGTAGAAACTTCATAAAATGAATTTTTGGGATTTGAATGTCGATTCGAAGTCGGATTTGAGTGAAACTAGTATGGTTGGACTCATGAGTGAATGGGTATTCTTAATTTGTGACTTTTACCCAATTCCGAGATGTGGGCCCGGGTTTGAGCCAATTTCGGATTTTTGGTCTAAATTGGTAGTTTTTCTTGTGGAGTTCATTCCATTATCGTATATTGATGGTATTGTACTGATTGTGAATAGATACGGAGTATTTGGAGGCTGAGTCGATAGGCAAGAGCATTGCGGGGTAGAGATTTGACCGGTTTGAGGTAAGTAACGATTGTAAATCTAGTCCTAAGGGCATGAAACCCCGGATTTCGTATCATTCTACTATTTTGAGGTGAAGCACATGCTAGGTGACGAGCGTGTGGCCATGCACTGTTGGGGATTGTGACTTGGTCCGCCTCGTAGCAACTGTAAATAAATAGCAAAACTTTCCATATATTTTTTATTTTTCTTGCATTAACAAATGTCTGGACGCAATGACCAACCAATGTACTATTGTGGCAAACGTGTGATTTTGAAAGCATGTTGGTCTGATGGTAATGTTGGGTGCAGATACTGGATGTGTCAACAATTATTTGGATGCAATGACGGAAATTATTGTATGTTTGAGGAATGGTATGATGAACCCATTAATCAGGAATACTACAAATCATGTTTGTAGTATGTTTGGAATATGAACGGTGAATACCAACACTAGATCTCTGAAATGCAACGAGAAATTGCGCCAGTGCAGAAGAAACTAAAAGAGGCGGGAAGATGATGACTATCTATAAGTCTTTTCTTTTTCTCCCTCTACCTTCGCAAGGTCTGCGTACACATTACCCTTCATATGTGAAATTTTATTGGGTTTGTTGTGGTTGTTGTTATTTGACCTATGTATTGTATTAGTAATAGTGATAGATAATATTACTTCCTCTTACCCTTTTTATCTCACTTTAACAAAAAAACTTGGTTTAAAATATTTGTCACATTAGAAAATCAAGAATGCGTTTAGTTTTTTTTCTTTCTAATTTCACCCTTACTACTCCAAGTAGGCATATAATCATTAATTACTCAGTTAAGGAAGAGATAGAGTTAATTTAGTCAAGTATCCCTTATAATTGATGATAATAAATGGGTGTGCCGAAACCTTATAGTTGAATTTTTTTTATTGGTAATGAAGACATTACATTGTTAAAATTAGAATAGTTGAATGAATTTGAAGTCTTGCTAATTGCTGAAGTTGTATATGTAATACTCAGTTAAGCTGCATATTTTGTTGAAACTATATGATACTTATATGTTTTAGAAAGAGTTTCTGTAAATTAGGCTGCATGCCATGTTTGGGCCTTGTGCCAGTGCTGTTTGGACACTTAGGGGCCTTTTCTTACTATCCTATCATTTTTTTCGATTTAAAATCTATATTCAATCATGGTTATACCGTTTACTGCATAACTCAGTTTTTATTACTCTATTTTGATGCGTATAAATGTTGTTTTGGGCTGAGTACCTTGTTTTTACTGAAATGCCCGAGTGGCTTGAGAGGTATATGACTGAGTGAGGCCGAGGGCCTGATTTGTGAGGATATTTATGGGATCGGACTACACGCCGCAACATGTTTCATATAGGCCGAGGGCTTGAGTGATTTATGCCATGATTTGGATGGATATAGCGCTTGGGCTGAAGGAGCCCCTCCGGAGTCTGTACACCCCCAGTGAGCGCAGGTACCTACTGAGTGTGAGTGCCAAGTGCTGAGTGATTGGGAGGCATGAGTGATCGTGAGGTATGCCCGAGTGGCATAAATGATTGTGAGGTATGCCCGAAAGGCATGAGTGATTGTGAGGTTTGCCCGATAGGCTATATACGAGTGATGTTGCCCGAGAGGTTATTTATGATTTCATCATTTTTGCTCACCTTTGCATTTAGCCTCTGTTTGAAAACTGTTAAAAAACAAATATCTTTAAATGATTTTACTGGAACTGGGTATAAACGAGATATTTTGATTCAAGTTCTGATTTTAAAAGCATGTGGTATTTTACTGAGATTTCATGATATGAACTTTATATGCTTTATTTCTCGTCACTACTGCTCAGTCTTTATTTATTGTTGTTACTTACTGAGTTGGCATACTCACGTTACTCCCTGCACCTTGTGTGCAGATCCAGGTATAGTTGGACACGGTAGCGGTGGTTGATTATTCTTGTTGCAGATTTTCTCGGGGATAGCAAGGTAGTTGCTTGGCGATCGCAGCCCCTGCTCTTCTCCCTCTTATCTTCCTTTAGTTGTATTTAGCTATTTTTCAGGCTGAGTTAGTCTTGATATTGTTAGACAGATTGTAGTAGATGCTCATGACTAGTGACACCTTCATGTCGGGCTTTTCTTTTCTGCACTTTTATTTTGATTTGAACTCCTTTACAAAGTTTTTTACGCTAAATAGCCTTGAAATTATCCTTGAAATGAAAATATCGGTTTGTTTTAGAATGAGTCGGCTTGCCTAGTTCCACGATAGGCGCCATCACGACAGGTTTGAGTTTAGGGTAGTGACATCGAAGCTGCTCTCCGAGTACTTCGTTATCTTCTTAAAGACCCAGGACTTGGGCTTTTCATGACTGCATCACCATCTTTTAAACTCCAAGCTTTTTGTGATTTGGATTGGGGTTCATGTCCAGATTCTCGGAGATCAGTGAGTGGTTTCTACATCTCATTAGGATCTTCACCAATTTTCTGGAAATCAAAGAAACAAGCCTCAATTTCTCTCAGTTCCGTCAAAGCAGAGTATCGATCGATGCAGAGAGTTGTGGTGGAGCTTACCTGGTTAGTCCGCCTCTTCGATGATCTTTCAGCACCAATCACACTTTCGGTTCTACTTCACTCTGACAGTCAGGCAGCTATTCATATAGCTAAAAATCTCGTCTTTCATGAGAGGAAGAAATATGTTGAAATTGACTGTCATTTTGTGTGACAACAGTTCATCTTCGGTCTTATTTCCCTCTCTTTCATCAGAACTGACTCTCAGCTAGCCGATTTATTCACGAAATCACTCACCGGACCTAAGCATCACACCTTACTGGGCAAATTGGGTGTTTTCTCAAACCCCTCCAACTTGAGGGGAGGTGTTGAAGAAAGGATAGAAGACAATCTAAGACATGATTTCAACAAATGAAGTTAATCGGAGAATTGATCGACCTTCATCACTGTCGATTGACAAAGGGAAACATAAAAGAGAAGATATTGGTTTAGGCCTCAAAGTACAAAAGCATTCCTTGAGATATCCGAAGTAGTATTTTGTTTCCAAATATAATGGGAGTGTGAAATGACAACTCTATCATTGAAGGAGATTATGTCACGTGCTTTACAATCCAGCTGTCCATAATAGCAAAGGAATATTTTGCAAGAATATTCTAGAGATTCCTTAGTTGTATTTTATATTTCCTTATATATATATTTTATTCACAGTAGGACAAATGGTACATGGAGTAAATTGAATTACACTCTACACAATATTTCGATTCAAGACAATACACACCAATTCATATTGGGTTCAAAATTTTTTGTCTTTACAATTCGATGGTGTTAACGAAACCGTATACAATATCAATGCACAGAAGTTAATTTTTTTATTATCAATGCACAAATCGTTTCTTGTGTTAAAGCCAATAATAGATGGAAACCATTAGTAGAAAAATAAGACTTGTTAGTAGGGTTATTGTCTCTCGTGTTCCATCCATCCTCAGCAATATCACACACTAGTGTTCAATAACGGAAAAAACAATAAATCTTTGTGCAAAGGTAACTTTTGCTCTCTATCTGTTTTTCTCTTATATTATTGATTGCTTACTCTTACATTTCTGCAAGTTAGTGCTACTACAACTTAAAAACTTTAATGGCCAGTGTGCAAATATATGCAAGTCATTAATATTTCTCCTTTTCTTGGTTGCTAATTGGATTTCTTCATGTGATAATGTTCTCTTGATACAGAACTAAAATACTAAAGAAGTGTATTCCATAACGTGATTATGTTTTACTTCCCTCTTGAAGGAAGAGTAATATAGTGGAGTTTCAATATATAGAGATGAAAGATACCACAATCCGCTCATTTTTATGTATCAGAAGTTGTGTTTTCTTCCACTTAGTAGAAAATATTTAAGGGTGGAAAAAACTTTTGGCATCGATTTTAGGGTGGTTTATTGACCTTGTCATTTGCACCAAAGACAGAAATTTAACACAGCAATCCACAAGTTGTATCCATTAAAACTAAGGTACATTTCAAGTTGTATATATATACTGAATAGATATAGCTAATTGGGTGGTACCCACAAGACGATAGTTCTTGTTTTGGTTTTCATTGAGGCTCACTAATTCGGACTTGTGCTGTGTAAGATTCATTAAAGAAGAAAGTGGTCGTTACTTATTTTTTTAGCGTTCAAATTCGAGATATGTGATTAAGGATGGATGGATCCTATCAATTCCGTCACAACCCTCGATAGTTACAAGACGACAGTTAGTGCTCTATTTGTGACTGCTATAATCATTTGTTTCATTTTACATAACATTGTTATTATTTAGAGCGTAAAAAAGATTTTCCTTTTCTTTTTCATTGTCAAATTTTATGAATTATTAGTTTCCAAAAGTATTAAATTTTTTTCAATAAATATTAGAGTATAAGTTCTATGCACAGGATGAAAAAAGATTTACATCACTAAAGCAGTTAAAAGGCAACTGTAGCTAATCCTTATAAAACATTAATTAGTAACTTCACAAAAATGGAAAGCAACCTTTCATGACATATTAAAATATAAAATACACGGAAATGGTAAGAAAATCTTTAAGTACATGTAAGTAATTCTAAATACTAAGAATATAAATCTAATTCGCATCTAAATCTATTTATTATTAAGCTATCATCACTTTCCTCTCTTTTGTTGCAGCAGCAGCAGCAATTGAAGATGGAATTAGAGCACCCTTCCTTCATGGTAATTAGCAAGAAAATATAGTTGAACTTTTTTATTCTTAATTTTCTCATCTTTTAGTTTTTTGGGACATTCAAATATTGGCAATTAGATCACGGTTGATTGTTTTTTTTTTTTCCGGCAGACCTGTATCTTGAGGGTTGATACTAACACTGAAAGCTGGCAAAAGACTATTATGAAGGTGTTAAATAATGTCCACGGTATTTCTTTTCTTTTTCCTTCGTCTTTCTGTGTATTGTTAAATAGTTTTGTTTTTATGGAGTGCAAAAATATTTATAAGGTAATTATTACACGTAAATTTTTATAATTGACAACTTAGTGAAAGTGGCTTGTAACTAGATTGTTATCATGTGTTAAACTATATTAGTGCAAAAAATCTTTTCGATGTCAGTACACATAACTTCTTAAAATTTACTCATGGTTATTGTATCATATCTTTAAATTGTTCATCAATGGATTTAATTTAAATACATTATTGATAGGGTAACAAATTTTGGTATTGGGAGTATTATTTAATCTGCAGATAATTTGCTTTATTTTTTCGATTATACTAATTCAACTTTTTATGTATGGTTATATATATTTATTTTTTAGGTTACATAAATCTTTTACAATATCACTGTATAGAATTTAATAAACTTTTAATCAATTTATATGTACATGTGTAAGGTTGAATAAAATACTGATCTAATTTGAGTATCTATGATGCTATACTTCAGAAGTGACAAACTTCAGAATGAACAAAGATGGGACGGTGGAGATATCAGGAACTGTGTTTCCAAATGAATTCATGATAATGCTAAGAAAAGCAAGCAACAAGGCACAACTATGCCAACTACTCCGAAAGAGTAGAGAGGCTTTTTTCGAAAGACCCTCGGCTCAAGAAAACAAAAGGACAAAAGGAGACAATATTAGTATCACCTATAAGAAAGATGCAAAGCAAAAGCAATAGCTAGTAAATAGGTCCTACACTAAAAAGTGAAATAGTAAGACACCACATTGCCACTAGCTATCTTTGACAAAAACCCTAACATACTGGTCTCATACTGGTACGAAGTAAGGAAAGACTCAACTACCTCCTAACCTACAACTCTAATACTCGACCTCCACATCTTCCTATCAAGTGTCATGTCTTATAAAATCTGAAGCCTCGCCATATCTTGCCTGATCACCTCTCCCCAATACTTCTTAGGCCGCCATCTACCTCTTCTCGTGCCCTTCACTACCAGTCGCTCACATCTCCTTATCGGAGCATCTGGGCGTCTCCTCTAAACATGCCTGAACCATCTGAGTCTCGCTTCCCGCATCTTGTCATCAATGGGAGCCACGTGCACCTTCTCCCGAATATCATCATTCCTAATCTTATCCATCCTAGTGTGTCCGCACATCCACCTCAACATCCTTATTTCTGCTACTTTCATCTTCTGGATATGTGAATTCGTAACGGGCCAACACTCAGCCCCATACATCATGGCCGGACTAACCACCGCTTTATATAACTTACCTTTGAGTATCGGTGGCACTCTCTTATCACACATGACTCCAGCTGCTAACATCCACTTCATCCATCATACCCCTATATGGTGAGTGACATCCTCGTCGATCTCCCGTCTCCCTTGGATAACTGACCCATGGTACTTGAAGCTGTCTCTACTTGGGATGACCTGTGATTCAAGTCTCACATCTACGTCCACTTTCCCTGGCTCAACGCTGAACTTACACTCCAGGTATTCTGTCTTCATCCAGCTCAGCTTGAAACACTTAGACTCAATAGTATGTCTCCAAACCTCCAGCCTCTCGTTAACACCGGCTCGCGACTCATCAATCAAAACTATGTCATCGGCTAATAGCATGCACCATGGCACATCCCTTTGAATATGGTGTGTTAACGCATCCATCACCAGGGCAAAAAAGTACGGAATGAGCGCAAAACCTTGGTGTAACCCCATTACAACCAGAAAATGATCGTAATCGCCTCCTACTCTCCTAACCCGAGTCTTTTCCCCATCATACATGTCCTTAATTGCCATAATGTAAGGAACCGACATACCTTTTGCCTCCAAGCATCTCCAGGAAACTTCTTCTCTAGGAACCTTGTCATACGCTTTCTCTAGGTCAATAAACACCATGTGCAGATCCCTTTTCCTCTCTCTGTACAGTTCCACCAACCTCCCAACAAGGTGTATATCTTCTATAGTAGAACGACCCGGCATGAACCCGAACTGATTATTGGATACTGACATTGTCATCCTCACCCTCGCTTCAACCACCCTCTCCCACACTTTCATGGTATGACTCAGTAATTTGATACCCCTATAATTGTTACAACTCTGGATATCACCTTTGTTCTTATATAATGGAACTACCGTACTCTACCTCCAGCCATCCGGCATCCTCTTCACCTTAAAAATAACATTAAACAACCCAGTCAACCACTCCAAACCTTCTCTCCCCACATACTTCTAAAATTCCACTGGAATCTCGTCTGGCCCTGTCGCTCTGCCCCTACTCATCTTACGCATAGCTCCCACGACCTCCTCAACCTTGATATGCCTGCAGTGCCCAAATTCAAGGTGACTCTCAGAATGCTCTAATTCGCCTAGCAAAATATCCCGATCCCCTTCGTCATTCAGAAGTTTATGAAAATAAGTCTGTCATCTCCTCTTAATCTGGGCATCTTCCATCAATACTCTACCATCTTCGTCCTTGATGCATCTCACTTGGTCCAAATCCCGAGTCTTCCTCTCTCTCAACTTGGCCAACCGGAAAAACTTCCTCTCCCCGCCTTTTTCCCTCAGTTCCTCGTACATACGACCATACGCCTCAGTCTTAGCTTCCGTGACCGCCAACTTAGCTTCCTTCCTAGCTACCTTATAACTCTCCATGCACGCTCGCCTATGCTCCCCACTAACTTCAGGTATGCCACCTTCTTCGCTTCCACTTTACCTTAGACCACTTCATTCCACCACCAGTCTCCTCTGTGCCCACCAGA